ATGAACGGCAGCTCCTGGTGCATCGATGCTGGAACCCCTCAGTGTACCCCAGAGCCTGCCCTCCACCTCCCTGATGCACCCCTGGACAGGGCCCGGACAGGATGCACCTGAGCCAGCCTCCTGGGGAAGGGAGTCAGAAGGAAACAGCCTTGTCCCTGAGCTTCAGCAAACTGTCTTAGTAAAAGCAGATTTTCTCCAAGTCATTAACAGTACAGCTTCTGGCGGGTGTCCTTGATGCGCAGGTCACTGTCAGCAGGCCGGTAGCAGGAAGGGCCTCCAAGGCAGTGGTGTGGGCCTGTGGGCACGCTCTGGGCCCAGGAAGGGGCTGGGTGCTCCACAGGGCAAACGCCCTTTAGCCCAGGCCAGTGTGAGCCTGTGGGTGCTGTGCCCAGACTGGGCATGGAGTATGCCATGGAGCAAAGACCCTGCCAGCCCAGGCATCTGGGGCTGGAGCAGGAGCTCCCTGGACACTGGGAGCTGCTAGGCTGGGGCACAAGGAAGGTGAGGGAAGAGGGACGGGGACAGATGGCTAGGAGGGGTGGGAGGGGAGAGCAGGAGGAGGAGGGGAAGAAGGGAGGTAGGGAAATGGGGTAAGCAGAACCCAGGCTGAGGGGTGTCCCTGGCTTAGGGAGGTGAGGGCCCCTGGGCAGTTGCAGGCAGAGGCAGCATGGCGAAATTTCTCTTTTCCAGAGGCGAGTGGTGGCAAGTGGTGAGGACAGAGCAGCGTGGGTCAGTCTAGAAGAGGCAGGTAGAGAGGAGGGGTGGAGAGGCAGGTGGAGTGGGGGAGAGGCAGACAGAGTAGGGGAGAGGCAGGCGGAGGTGGGAGAGGCAGGCGGGAGTGGGAAGAGGCAGGGGGAGGGGGTGAAGAGGCAGGGCCTGGGGCAGCTTCGGTGGCTTCAGGGCTGGGAGCTGGGGATGGGGGTGGATAAACCTGGGATGTCTGGGGGCCAGGTCTAGCCATGGGGACAGGAGCAGGCCGAGGACAAGGATGGAGGGTGCCTTCTGCTCTGGTTGTGTGGCTTCCGGGCAATGAGGTGATGGTAGCTCAGGGAGAGCCTGGGCCAGAGCCATGGACTTGGGAGTCCCTTGCTCAAAAGCAGGAAGAGGAGAGCCCAGATGGGCTCACCCAGGGAGCTGAGGGCAGAGGCAGGCCGCGGTGGGTGGAGGATGGGGAGATGCTGGCGTTCCCCCTTTGAGATGCCAGAGCTGGGCTAGAGAGGGCTGGAGATGGTCACCGATTTGGGGTCAGTGTCCTAGGAGTGCTGGCCACCACCATCTAGGGAAAGGGGGACTGAGAACACCCTCGCCTTTGGAAAATAGGACCACAGCTAGCAGTGATTTGGGGTCCAGCAGGTGGTGGGGGCAGTGAGTGGAGAGGGGAGGAGAGAAAGAGGTGATGGGAGAGGTGGGTAGGGACCGGGGGAGTATGCTCCTCACCCACCGAGCTGCAGGGCCTCACTCACAACCCGAGTGCCTGGGGCCATGATCGCCCCAACCAGGTCTCAAAATATGAGACCCAGGGGGGCACAGGGGGGCTCTGCCATCCTCTCAGGGTAAGGGATGAACCAATGTGAGAGTGGAGACCTGGTCCCTGGAGGAGCACCAAGGGGCCAGCGCCACCCTCTGGACCTGGAGGCTCAGTTCAGACCCCAGTCCGATGACCCTAGGAGGCCAGGCCTGGCTGGCTTCAGAAGTCATGAAACCGGCCAGGGCCACTCTGCCCAGGGTCCTTGGTTAGTGAGAGTGAGTCCTGGCGCCTTTGCAGCCCACATGTGTGTTTGTGCTGGCTGAGTCCCGTTTCCATGGATGGGGGCCTGGGCTGCCAGCTGTGCCTGTGGACACAGGGGCAAGAGGGTCAGAGGAAGGAGAAGGCTCCACAGCCACCCTAATTGCCTCTCTGGAGAGGGAGGCAGAGCAAGAGGTTGACTCTGGCTGACCCCCACTGTCCCTTAGGGAGATTACATAATGAGAGCACGGAAGCAGCCGCCTGTGTGTGTGTAATTTCGTGTGTGCGCATGTGCGCGTGTCTGTGTGTGTGTTGGTCCAGGGCTGGCGAGAGGTGCTCAGCCTCTCCAAGGACCACAAAGCTCAGCCGTAGAAGGCAGGCTGGGGTTGGTGCCCGCTTTCCTCTGGGTGCTTGGTGAAACACACATTCCTAGGCCTCAGACACACCGGAACAGAGTGTCGTAAGCGGAACTGTTAATTTTAAACGAGCTCTGTAGGTAAGCTTCATGTACATTTAAGTGCAGGGAAAAACTCACAGGCCTGTGATATCTTTGGAAACCTCAGGAACCTCCCTGTTGCAAGCATGCACTTGTGTTGAAGGCTTCATAAGATTAAGGGTGGGTCCCCTTCTCCCCTGGCCAGGCTAGAGGGGCCCTTCCAGTCCACACCCTGCCCTTGCACGGAGACCTCGATGGTGCAGGAAGTTTGAATGAAGAGGAATGGGGGCATGTCGGCGAGGGGACAGCTGGTCTGGATGACAAGGGAGTGGCTTTGCTGTCTGCCTGCATTTCTCTAGTTTTGGGATGGGGGATACTGAGTGAGAGATGGAGAAAGGCCTGGAACTGGTCTGGGCGCAGCCACTCATCCAGCTGTGGGGTTTTGGACTGAATCAGCCATCAGCCACCTCAAGTGAACATCAGTTCCCTCCAGGAGTGCTATGCTGCCCCAGACTGATAAAGTCAGCATCTCCGGGTGTGGGGTTGGACGCGGGTCTTTGGTTCTCAGCCCTTAAATGGTGATCCTTTTCAACTGGAGTCTCTGATCCCCCCCACCAGCTGGACAATAGACAGGAGAGAAGGACTTGATCCTTCTCCCCACCCTTCAAGGGGAAACCACCCCCCACTCCCGGCCAAAAGCTTTCGAATTATGCTGATACTATGGGTGCTTTGTCAGCATTTGAATGACAGATGACGTGGCTTCTGATTCGGGACAGGCTGAGGCTATAAAAATGCCAGCATTTTAAGAGATGCTAAATGACTGCTGTAGAGAAAGGAATCAAGGAGAAGGCACAAAAGCCCCTCAGCCAATGGCCCTGAAATTCTTTATCTCCAGATCAGAAGAAAACACAGAGTTGTCCATTAACAGCAAATGTTTAAAATATAAAGTGCAGACATGCGGGGCGGGGGTTGGAGGAGTTAAAGCAGGCGTGTTTGTAAACTAAAAGGTGAACCCCATTGGCAGATAACTTTTCAGTTTAATGCCCAGCTTTGTAAACCCGGGTTATTTCCAGCTACTGATACGTGTACAGAAGTAAAACATTGCTAGAGGCGAAATGTAATCAGCTGAGTCAAAAATCCCATTTCATTTACTCCCCTATCTTGTAAATAAAGTCAAGTCATTCAACAAGGTGTTGGCCACCTTTAGCTAAGGTGTTTATGTATAGGATCTAAATCGACCCGAAACAAAAACTATGATACAACGGAAGATGTTGGCTTTGGAGTCCGGTACCTGAGTTATACCCAGGCTTTGCTCCTAACTGGCTGTGTGAGCTTGGGCAGGTCTGTCTCTCTTCTAAGCCTCGGTTTCTCCGTTTGTGAAATGGAGATAATACCTGCTTGCCTATTTCACAGACGTGTGGAGAAGTTTAAACCTCACAAGTGATCATTTATATCAGGAGTCTCTAGTATGATCCCTGACACATTTTAGGCATTGAATACTTTGCACTTATGAAAATATGTATATATCCTCACTATGTGTGTCACACAGTTTCATATTACCTATTTCTCAGCAGTACAGTGAGGAAAACATCACTTAGCCCATTTCACAGATGCTGAAACTGAGTTGCGATCACTGGGTTTTGAGCCCAGATCCTTCAGCTCCAGGTCCCATGCTCTTTCCACTGCATGCTCTTAACCAGAGGTGGGCAATGCCATTTTCATGAGGTGCCAGGTCAGTAGGTGGCAGGGCTGGTTGTCACTGGCATTTGGGGGCGGGGTAGCAGGGAGTGAAACAATGGGAACATCTCTTAGGGGATGAATGAGGACTTCAAATCACAGAGAAGGTGCCCAGTGGATGCTCTGTGCCAGCCAGCAGCGACAACGGCTGCACACCCCAGCATTTCAGCATTTCTAGAACAATCTCAGTGCAGTCTGTTCCACTGCGGCCTCTGGCTATGATGCCAGTTCTTCACTCTGATGCGACCTGTGAGCGTTAACTCTTCACCAGCCCTTCATCCAGTGTGCAGAAACACTACTCCCCAATTATATCAGTTTACATATATATATAATTATGCTTTTATTGTAAACACCTTAAGGAATCACCTTTGCAGAATATTTTAAAAATATGTCAATTTTTTTTTTTTTTTGAGACGGACTCTCACTCTGTCACCCAGGCTGGATTGCAGTGGCACAATCTCGGCTCACTGCAACCTCTGCCTCCTGGGTTCAAGTGATTCTCCTGCCTCAGCCTCCCGAGTAGCTGGGATTACAGGCATGCACCATCATGCCAAGCTAATTTTTGTATTTTTGGTAGAGATGGGGTTTAACCACTTTGGCCATCCTGGCCTTGAACTCCTGACTTCAGGTGATCCACCCTCCCCAGCCTCCCAAAGTGCTGGGATTATTACAGATGTGAACTACCATGCCTGGAGAAATACCTAATGTAGATGACAGGGTGACGGATGCAGCAAATCACCATGGCATGTGTCTACCTATGTAACAAACCTGCACGATCTGCACATGTACCCCAGAACTTAAAGTATCATAATAAAAAAAGTTTCAAAGAACTATCTCCATCTGTGGATAGAAGACTGCAGACATGTAGAGACTGCAGACACCCAACCCTTGCTTTCTGTGGATACATTTAGACAACTGGTGGGCAGCTTTTGGCATCATAGCACAGAGTTCATTTTAATACATCTGGATGCCACAGAATGCGCTGGAACATGCAGGAAAGCCGGTGAGAACAAGTCACAGACATTCTAACCCATCCAGGAGCTCCCCACCTGTATGGGGCTCGGTCTAAGCCCTGCTACAGAAAGGTGTGCAGAGAAGGCGTTTTTAAAATCCTACAAATGAAAAACAGAATTAAAAAAAATCTATAAAGGGCACAGGCAAATCAATTCATTAAAAGGAAAAAAAAGCTAGAAACTCAGTAGAAAAATGGGTCAAAGGCATGCACACATAATTTACATGCAAATGGTTTAAAACCCTAGAAAAAATTATAATCTCATTAGTTATCAAATATATATCTAAGATAGTACTGCATGAAAATAAGGTAGTATTTTTTGCTGATAAAATTTGTGGGTTTTTCATTTTTGATGACAATATCAAACACTGATCGTACTCTCACTATGAGTATAGATTGTTAGAAAAAACATTTTGGCTGCAGGATATGAGAAGTCTCAAAAATGTTAATATCCTTTGGCCCAGTAATTCCACGCCTGGGAATTAATCAGACGATCAAGAAAAAAAAGTTTTAAGAACAAAATAAGGGAGCCCATCTAAAAGGTCAAAAATAGGAAAATGATAAAGTATTCAATATACTTATTAATGGCACATTATTCAGGTGTTAAAAGATCGCTTTATGATTTTGAGATAAATGGGGGAAATCCTTACATTGTTAAGTACTTATAACATATGTACATATAAATATAAAGAACCATGTCAACTGTGAAAGGTGAGAAATGAGAAGGAAATACATCCACTTGCTAACAGAAGTCTCTGAGTGATGGGATTCTTTCTTTCTCCCTGCTTTTTTGCATTTTCCACTTTTTTTTATTAAAAAAAGTATGAATTAAGGAAAAACAACTTGGACTTTGGTTCTGAGAACAAACTTTATCAAATGACTCCGAAGTTATTTGCTTTGCCCAATTATTTCTGCAGAGTCACCAAATATATTCAAGATGGAAAAAAAAGCACCTCAAAGTCAAATGAGGTGAGTGCCCACAGACACCAAGGAGAAAAGGAACAGGAGATCGATCGGGAAAAGACAGTGGGAAACACTTGCTAACAGAAAACAGACCCACACACAGAAGCTAACTGGAGCCTTTCCAGTCAGTTCCATCTTTCAGGCTCTGCAGACAAATGAATGGAAGCCAGGCTGACCTCCAATAACAGGGCAGATACGCAGACCCCCCTTCTTCGCACTGCCTGTGGGACAGGCCACAGAGCTCTCCGAAGCTTCTGGACTTAGAATCACGGGACAGCACAGCATGGGCTGTGTCCTTAGCAAGTCCTTGGTTTTGTCCATGTGCTGTGCACGTCTCCAGTGGACTGAGTGTTACTCAGGTTTGCAGAAAAAATATGAATAAAAACAGAGCTCTCAGGCTCACAACCGTCTTGCAGCTTGATCTTGTCTAGAAATCTAAGTCATCTTGGCCAAAGCCATCTGCCCTGCCCACCACCTCAGTGGCCGTGAGGCTTCTGAGTGCCTGGTCATCTTGTAGGTCACAGCCTTTGCTGGCCCCCTGCTCTGGAGTCCTTGGGCCTGAAGGGACCTCTTCTTGCTCAGAAGTGGAACTTCCTGGATACATCCCGATGGTCTTCCTCTCTGCATGGCCATCTTCTAGACTGACCTGAGGGCTCCCTTTTTTCTCACCTTGAGTTTCTCCTTCTGACTCTGGCTGGGCCTCCCCTTCAGCCTCTGGGGCCTCCACACCTTCTGACTCTGGCTGGGCCTCCCCTTCTGCCTCCTGGGCCTCCCCTTCAGCCTCTGGGACCTCTACACCTTCTGACTCTGGCTGGGCCTCCCCTTCTGCCTCCTGGGCCTCCCCTTCAGCCTCTGGGACCTCTACAGCTTCTAACTCTGGCTTGGCCTCCTCTTCTGCCTCCTGGGTCTCCCCTTCAGCCTCTAGGGCCACTACACCTTCTGCCTCTGGCTGGGCCTCCCCTTCTGCCTCCTGGATCTCCCCTTCAGACTCTGGGGCCTCTATGCCTTCTGCCTCTGGCTGGGCTTCTTCTTCTGCCTCCTTGGATTCCCCTTCAGCCTCCAGGGCCTCTACATCTTCTGAATCTGGCTGGGCCTCCCTTTCTGCTTTCTGGGTCTCCCCTCCAACCTCTGGGGCCTCTATAATTTTTGACTCTGGCTGGGTCTCCTCTTCAGTCTCCAGGGCCTCTACACCTTCTGACTCGGGCTGGACCTCCTCCTCCGCCTCCTGGGCCTCCTCTTCTACCTCCAGAGCCTCTATACCTTCTGACTTTCGCTGGGCCTCCCCTTCTGCATCCCGAGCCTCTACATCTTCTGACTCTGGCTGGGCCTCCCCCTCAGTCTCCGGAGCCTCTATACCTTCTGACTCTGGCTGGGCCTCCCCTTCAGCCTCCTGGGCCTCTACACCTTCTGACTCTGGCTGGGTCTCCTCTTCTCTCTCCTGGGCCTCTACACCTTCTGACTCTGGCTGGGCCTCCCCTTCGGCCTCCAGGGCCTCTACACTTTCTGACTCTGGCTGGGCTTCTTCTTCTGCCTCCTGGGCCTCTACACCTTGTGACTTTGGCTGGGCCTCCCCTTCTGCCTCCTGGTCCTCTACATCTTCTGACTCTGGCTGGGCCTCCTCTTCTGCCTCCTGGGCCTCTACATCTTCTGACTCTGGCTGGGCCTCCTCTTCTGCCTCCTGGGCCTCCCCTTCAGCCTCCAGGACCTCTACACCTTCTGGCTCTGGCTGGGCCTCCTCTTCTGCCTCCTGGGCCTCTACATCTTCTGACTCTGGCTGGGCCTCCCCTTCAGCCTCCTGGGCCTCTACATCTTCTGACTCTGGCTGGGCCTCCTCTTCTGCCTCCTGGGCCTCTACACCTTCTGACTCTGGCTGGGCCTCCCCTTCTGCCTCCTGGGCCTCTACATCTTCTGACTCTGGCTGGGCCTCCTCTTCTGCCTCCTGGGCCTCTACACCTTCTGACTCTGGCTGGGCCTCCTCTTCTGCCTCCTGGGCCTCTACACCTTCTGACTCTGGGTGGGCCTCCTCTTCTGCCTCCTGGGCCTCCACACCTTCTGACTCTGGTTGGGCCTCCTCTTCTGCCTCCTGGGCCGCTACACCTTGTGACTCTGGCTGGGCCTCCTCTTCTGCCTCCTGAGCCTCTACACCTTGTGACTCTGGCTGGGCCTCCTCTTCTGCCTCCTGGGCCTCCTCTTTGGCCTCTGGGGCCTCTATGCCTTCAGCTTCATCACTCTGTCCTGGATCTTGGTCACCTCCTGCCGCAGCTTCATCCTGCAAGTTGTCCTCATGCCCAGAGCCCTGGCTCCCAATTTCTCCCCTCTCACCTAGGCCCTCTCCCTCCTGCTCAGCTTCCTCCAGCTCACTGCTGGCGCTGGTTTTGCTGTTGTGGGTTTTCCCTTCTCTCTCCTGAGCCACTGCAGCTCCCTCTGCCTCCTCCGGTTTGGGATCTTTGTCTCTGTCAAGTCTCTGGCTCCCCTCACCATCCTCTTCCTCGTCCACTCCAGGCCCTGGGCCCAGCCCCAGCCCCGGCCTCCCCTCGGCTCCCTGGACAGTCCTGGTGCTTATGAGGTCCATGTGGGTCCTGCCAGGGGCCACCTCTGCTGCCTCCCCATCGGTGCGTTCTCCCTTCTTCCTCTGCAGAATCTGCCGCAGGTCAAAGGCCTCTTTGATGGGACCTCTGGTGGCCCCCATTGTGTCCTTTGGGGATGTAGGGCTCACTTTCTTTCTCACGCAGGCCTCACAAGGACAGAACTCCTCTCCCTCAGCCTCTGCATCTAGCTGGGTGCCCAGGTCTGTGCTGAGGGCCGGCTCATCCTCCAGGGTGAAGGAGAGAGGCTCCAGGCCCAGGGTCCGCTCAGAGAAGGCCGAGAGGTTGCGTAGGCCCCAGAGGCGGTGTCTGCGCTGCTGGGTCTGCAGGAGCAGCTCCCCCGTGAGGGTCTCCCGGGGAGGCCCCAGCACCATCCGCCCCGCTCGACTCTGGAGCTTCTGGAGCTCTCTCTCGGTGCTGTTCTGGAGGCGCCGGGCCACATCCTGCTGCAGCTCAGCCGCCATCTGGTCCAGCAGATCGTTGTCCTGCAGGGCCCAGCGTGCTCGGAGCTCGGCCACCGCACTGGCAAGGTGGGCCAGGAAGGCCTTCTCTGTCTTCTTCAGCAACACAGACACCAAGATGGGGTCACAGTCCAGAGCCACTCTGTAGGCCACCGAAGAGCTCTTCTCTGCAGCCCCTTGGGTAGGTGGGGCCTGCGTGTGCTCCTGGCCCATCCAGGAGGCTCCGGGTGGCTTTTCCAAGCCAGGCTCAAGCTGGGAGCTACTTTGACTCTCACTGGCACTTGGGTCCATCTCACTGAGATGACTAGTGGGCTCCGTGGGCTCCTCTGTTCCCTCTGGGGGGCATGGCTCTGCAGAGGCAGAGGCTCTTCCCACTTCCTCCTCCTGGGCTGGGTCTTCTTCCTGGGAGCCTTCCCCATCCAGAGAGCTGGCCTCTGACAATTCCTGTCTGCAGACGCGTCCTTCTTCTGGAAGCTCTGCCTCTTTGAGACCTTCTTCAAGAACCTCTTCCTGCAGTCCTTCTTCTGGTCCTTCCTTAACTTCCTCTAGCTGTGCCTCTTCTTGCAGCCGTTCTTCTGTTTCTTCTTTCATTTCCTCGAACTGTGCCTCTTCTTCTTGCAGCTCTCCTCCTCCTGTTCCTTGAGTTTCCTCTAACTGCGCCCCGTCTTCCTGAAGCCCTTCTCCTTCTGCTTCTTCTTCCACTTCCACTAACTGCGCCTCTTCTTGCAGTTCTCCTTCTGTTTCCTCTTTAGTTTCCTCTAACTGCGCCCCGTCTTCCTGAAGCCCTTCTCCTTCTGCCTCTTCCACTTCCTCTAACTGCGCCTCTTCTTGCAGTTCTGTTTCCTCTTTAGTTTCCTCTAACTGCGCCCCCTCTTCCTGAAGCCCTTCTCCTTCTGCCTCTTCCACTTCCTCTAACTGCGCCTCTTCTTGCAGTTCTGTTTCCTCTTTAGTTTCCTCTAACTGCGCCCCCTCTTCCTGAAGCCCTTCTCCTTCTGCTTCTTCCACTTCCTCTAACTGCGCCTCTTCTTGCAGTTCTCCTGATTCCTCTTGAGTTTCCTCTAACTGCGCCCCCTCTTCTTGAAGCCCTTCTCCTTCTGCCTCTTCCACTTCCACTAACTGCGCCTCTTCTTGCAGTTCTCCTTCTGTTCCCTCTTTAGTTTCCTCTAACTGCGCCCCCTCTTCTTGAAGCCTTTCTCCTTCTGCCTCTTCCACTTCCTCTAACTGCGCCTCTTCTTGCAGTTCTCCTGATTCCTCTTTAGTTTCCTCTAACTGCGCCCCCTCTTCTTGAAGCCCTTCTCCTTCTGCCTCTTCCACTAACTGCGCCTCTTCTTGCAGTTCTCCCGATTCTTTAGTTTCCTCTAACTGCGCCCCCTCTTCTTGAAGCCCTTCTCCTTCTGCCTCTTCCACTTCCACTAACTGCGCCTCTTCTTGCAGTTCTCCTTCTGTTCCCTCTTTAGTTTCCTCTAACTGCGCCCCCTCTTCTTGAAGCCTTTCTCCTTCTGCCTCTTCCACTTCCTCTAACTGCGCCTCTTCTTGCAGTTCTCCTGATTCCTCTTTAGTTTCCTCTAACTGCGCCCCCTCTTCTTGAAGCCCTTCTCCTTCTGCCTCTTCCACTTCCTCTAACTGCGCCTCTTCTTGCAGTTCTCCTTCTGTTCCCTCTTTAGTTTCCTCTGACTGTGCCTCCTCTTCTTGCATTGTGTTTTCAGCCATCTGCTCCTCCTCCCTGTCTCCTTCTGCTTCCTCCTCCTTGGTGGCACAAGCGCAGGCTCGGGAGTTCAAGAAGTCTGGGGAACAACAGTGCTGTTGCTTTTCCAGATCCCCTGGGTTCTCAGAGGTTCTGGAATCAGACCTCTGGTTGGAGGTTTTCAGGGACAGCTCTGTCCCCTCAGGGACCAGGGTACCATCCATGGCACAGGGTATGCTGCTCTCCCCTGAGCCTCCAGAGCCGCTACTGATGTCCACGCCCGAGGAGGACGTGGGCGTGAAGTTCTCTGTCGCAACATGGGACCCAAGGTCCAGCAGAGCCTGGCTCCATGTGAGCTCCCAGAGGCCTGAGTCCAGCTGGTCCTGCTCAAGGTCACATCCTGGCCACAGGTCCTTTGAGATGCGGAGCAACTCCTGGTACCGAGGGGAGTCTTTGAACCTCACTTTGCTGGCAGGAGACCCAGAGTCTTCATCAAAGAACTGGAGACTGGCCAGACAGGTAATGAGGGCCCCAGCTGAGCGGCTGAGCCTCCTGGCCATGGGCCGAGACACTTCGGGCACGCTGCTGGGCCGGTCATGCTTGGAGCCCATCAGTGCCCTCAGGATCTGCGTGGAGGCAGACACCCGGCCAGGAAGAGCCCGCAGGCCCACCCCGCAGCTGGCCGGGGCCCCTCTGTCCATTCCGGCCTCTGCAGGGGCCTCAGAAACTCCCTCTGGAGATGCCCCTTGGGGGATACCCTCTCCTGATTGGGGACCAACGTCACCACTCACCAGGAGGACTCCCTCTGGCTCCAGGTCCTGTCCAGCAACCCCTTCCAGGGGCTGTTGTCTGTTGTCAGCTGACTCCCCCAGGCCTTCCAGAGCACCGTCATCCCCAGGGTCCACCTCAGGGCCCCTCAGGTCACCCCCTGCTGCACCTGTGGTCTCGTCCACCATCTCATATGTCATGAGTACGGGCTCTTCAGGAATGTTGTCCAGCCATTCTCGGACCACAGCCTCTGGAGACGAGCGGGGCAGCGTGCCAGGGGACATGCCACTGGTCTCCTCCTGCCCCTGGAGGCCTCCCCGACGAGCAGTCTTCTCCTGGGATAGCACCCCAGACCCCACAACCTGGCTCACACAGCTTCTCCTAGATGCCCCTGAACTGGGGCCAGAGGACATTGTGAGCTCTGCCTGGTGTGTCCCCTCCTCCTGCTGGCTCCCACCTGGCCCACGGGCAGCACTCCGGTGGCTGCTGCTGGTGCTGGCACAGCTGGAAGGGCGCCTCTCAGGGCAGGGCCGCCCCCTTGGTGGGGTGGGGCAGTACCTGCCACACAGCCAGTGGGCCTCCAGGGATGGTCCCCACTGGGCCTCTTGGGCTGGCAGTGTCCCGGTCTGTGAGCAGGAGCGGCCTTGGCGGGGGCCTGATGCCCCTTGCTCGGGCTGCTCAACCTGCAGAATTAACGGCAAGGAGGGCTGGGGGGTGTCCCAGGCCTGTTCCTCCAGGCTGGCAGCCCCAGATTTTGAGTAGCAGTTGGATGTATGAGGCGGTGTGGGGGCCAGTGAGCATGTTCTGGATCCTGCCTCCCCTGCCCACCCAGCAGAGGGAGCGTTGTGGGGGGAGACCCCAGAGGCACAGTCTGAGTGGCCTGCAGGGGTGACAGTGGCACTGCTGGTTCTCAGAAGGTCCTGGGAAGGAAGAGAGCCCGAGGAGGGAGGTCTCAGGTCCCCGGAGGCCTGTGTCCTGGAGCTCGATGAGCTTCCAGAAGATCGTGGCACTGAGCCATCCCGGCAGACCCTTTGCCGCTCAGGAGGCCTCGGCACTTGCATGGTTGCAGGGGAGTCCAGCAGGCCGTGGGTGCCCCTGCAATAGCGACACTGCCTGGGAGAGTCTCTTGGGGCCACTCGGCCAAGGCCATGGCTGCTGGGTGAGGATACCGCACTGGCCCGGCTCTTGTGCCTTCTCCGCCCCTGCTGGGCTGAAGTGCAGGTGGGAGGGGTGGAAGAGGCTCCTTCTGAGTCCCAGGAGCCAGAAAGGCCCGAAGCCAGAGGCTCCCTCATCACAGACGCACCCCTGGCCTGCTGGTGCTCAGTGCCGTGTCCTGGCATCTCCGCCTGCAGGTCCTCACTCCTTAAAGATGAAAGAGTCAGGGCTGGAGAACCTGGAATGCTTCCCTCGGTGGCCTCCTGCTGCGAGGTCTCAGCCCTTGCCATGCCCAGGCAGCCCCGGGTCCGCCCACCCCATTTGCTGGATCCCTCCCTGGTGCTGGCTGACGAGTCTGAAGAAGCCCCCTCCTCACTCCGGGCTCTGGACATCAGGCGGCCGCCTTGCTCTGGGCCGCCCAGCCCTGCTCCATCTGTGCACGTGCCAGGGTCCTCACCCAGGCTCCTGCTAGCTTCCCACTCGGCCCCTCTCTGGGCAGAGGGGCTGCCGCTGTCTACCTTGTCCTCTGGGATCCTGGGGCAGCAGGAAGAGCCTGGCTCCGAGCCCTCAGGGTGGCCAGTGCTGGAGGCTGGGCTGGCACTGTCCTGGCTGCATCTCTCCCTCCTGGGAGCCCCATGGTCCCACAGGCCACTGCAGCGGATGTGCTGGGCCAGCCCCCACCTCTTCCGAGCCGCCACTCTCTGTCCCTGGGAGGCATGCAGAGGATTCGTCCAGATTTCATACTTGGGCCCTGGCTGCCCACCTCGGCCAAAGGCTTCCCCGCATCCCACCCTGCAGGGCCGGGGTCCCCACACCCCAGGCTGCGAGAAGCCCCAGGGGTAGCCCTCCCACACACAGCAGAGGGGGTCCACCTCCCCCAGAACGGGGTCCTCCCCGCTGGCTGTGGTGAGGGCAGTGGCCCGGCCCATCCTCCGGGACCACAGAAGCGTGTCCTCGCCGACCAGGTGGAAGCGGACTTTCATCTCCACGGACAGGCTGCCATCGTCATTCATGCGGACCTTCTTCTTCATGTCATCGCCGGCCACCAGCGGGCCCGGCTGCGCCGGCGTGTCTTGAGGGTGCCTGTCAGGAGCAGGGCCCACCAGGGGGTCACTGGGACCAGGTCTCTCTGGCAGCCTTGGCCTGCTGCCTGACTGGGACCGTGAATGGATCACGCTCGGCTTGGTCTTTGGTCCCCAGCTCCCTGGCATGCAGCGAAGAGGAAAAGAAAAGAGGAAAAGATGAAAGTCATGAGCCTGCCACCACCTGGATACCACCACTGCCTCCAAAATGCATGGTCAGGGCCAGGTGCAGTGGCTCATGCCGGTAATCCAAGCACTTTGGGAGACCGAGGCGGGAGGACTGCCTGAGCTCAGGGTTTCAAGACCAGCCTGGGCAACATAGTGAGACGCCATCTCTACAAAAAAAAAAAAAAATTAAAAAATAATTAGCTAAGCATGGTAGTATGCCCTACAGTCCCAGCTTCCTAGCTACTTGGAAGGCTGAGGCAGGAGAATCCTGAGTCCCAGAGTTCGAGCCTGCAGTGAGCTGTGCGCCATTGCACTCCAGCCTGGATGACAGAGTGAGACCATTTAAAAAAAAAGGAAAAAAAAAAGCATGTTAAGGGCAGAGCTATTCTAGAATGACAATCCACAGAGCTGCCAGTCTGTGAACTGGCGTCATCTAGCAAGGAGAACTGGAGTCTGAATTCAGTCTCAACTCTGCCACTTCCTAGCTGTGTAGTTTTGGCAGACCTGTTTTCTCAACCGTAAAGTAAGCATAATAATATTGGTTGAGTCAGTTCATATCGATGCATGGCCATGCATATAAAACTTCCTCCATAGTTGCTGGCACACGGTAGGCTCTCGAGAGATGCACACTTGGCAGGCAGAACGGCAGTGCCCAGAGCTTGCTCCTAGCCCTTCTCATGCCCGCCACCAGCTCAGCAGGTGAAATCGATAAACTGCTGCATATGACCCTGAGTGTTAACTGTTTTATGCTCTGCGATTATTAATGGTGATTTATCACCCTAACCCTCATCAAGCTCCTGGGTTGATAAATGATTGCAGGGAAAGACCCGGGTACACCGTATCAGGTCCTGCTAGTCAAGCCTGCACCCCAGCCATGAAAGAGAAGAAGAAAGGGCTGCTGGGAATGCAAAGGAGTGGCTCTAAGTAAGAATGCACCAGGCACGGTGGCTCACACCTGTAATCCCATCACTTTGGGAGGCCAAGGCAGGTGGATCACCTGAGGCCAGGAGTTCGAGACCAGCCTGACCAATGTGGAGAAACCCCATCTCTACTAAAAATGCAAAAAATTAGCTGGGGGTTGTGGCAGATGCCTGTAATTCCAGCTACTTGGGAGACTGAGGTATGAAAATTGCTTGAACCAAGGATGCAGAGGTTGCAGTAAGCCGAGATCGCGTCACTACACTCCAGCCTAGGTGATAGAGAAAGACTCTGTTTCAAAAAAAGAAAAAAAAAAGAATGAATGAATGAATGAATGAATGAATGAAGCCCTTAAGTGCTTTAGAATTTCATCTTCAGAGCCAACACATGGCAAGAGGGTAATGCTAGCAGAGGCTGAGTCTACAGTCAGCAAAAGAACAGACCCCAGGTGCATGTCTGGGCAGAAGATGGCTTTGCCCAGTCCTGCCCCTCCACAGGGGCCAAATGAGACTGAGGACTCCTCCAGGGAGGGGCCCAGAGTGAACTGTCCTTGTGCCTCCAGTACGTGTCCCACAGGGACCACGAGCCTGTCCTTGGAGTTTGCTGAGCTTTTCACGAAGGACAGTGAGTACTTTGTTTATGCATCACACTTTTCCATCGTCAAACTGCATTTGCTAATTATGCTTTTAAAAAATAGGTGTGTGTGGTTTTAAAAAATAACAGAGTACAGACTGGCTCGTTGGCTGGATATATGGATGGATGGATGGATAGATGACCCATGGCCTTGGTTAGTTTTAGTCCTTTTGACACCCGTGCAGGCCACCACTGTCGCCTGAGACTGTCGTGACCATGAAAGGATGCCACGCCACACACATGGCCCGTTGCTGCCATGATGTCATACCCACTGTCGTTGTTCCTTTTTTTTTTTGAGACAGGATCTCTGCCCGGGCTGGAGAGCAGTGGCATGATCATGACTTACTGAAGTCTCAAACTCCTGGGCTCGAATGATCCTCCCACCTCTGCCTCCTAAGTAGCTGGGACCACAGGCATGTGCCACCATGCCTGGCTAATTTGTTCATTTACTTATTTATTTTTTTGGTAAAGACAGGGTCTTTCTCTGTTGTCTAGGCCTGTCTTGAACTCCTGGGCTCAAGTGATCTTCCTGCCCTGGCCTCCCAAACTGCTGGGATTACAGGTGTGAGCCTCTGTGCCTGTGGTTCTTAATAAAATTTATTTTAGATTCTAGAAATTTCAAGTTCAAAGTCTCTTAATCCATGTTCTTTTTATTTGTTTGTTTGTTTGTTTAGAGACAGGCTCTTTCTCTGTCATCCCGGCTGGAGTGAAGTGGTACAATCACAGCTCACTGCAGCCTCAACCTCACAGGCTCAAGTGATCCTCCCACCTCAGCCTCTCAAGTAGCTAGAACTATAGGCATGTGCCATTATGCCTGGCCAAATTTTTTGTATTTTTTCGTAGAGACAAAGTCTTATTATGTTGCCCAGGTTGGTGTCCAGCTCTTGGACTCAAGCCGTCCTCTCACTTTGGCCTCCCAAAGTGCTGGGATTACAGACATGAGCTACCATACCCAGCCTCTGTTCCTTTTATATACCAAGCACTGCCTTCTCCTATCTCAGTCAAATGTTCAACCCAAGTGAGGTTGACAGTGATGAGAAGGAGAAAGAGGCAAGAGAGTTCCCAAAATGACTGGGATACCTAAGATTTGGGGCCAAAGGGAAGTTTCCCGAGTTATCTGGAAGGGTATCCACTCAGCCCTACTGAACCACCATCCAGGGCAAATCAGACGGGGGAAATTCAAGCACCAACTCACTGTTTTTGCTTCTTGAAGTCAGCCCAGATAAAGTTCCAGCCTCACTTCTCCTGGAATTTTCCATGGCTGGAGGTCTGAATGCCTCATGCCCGGCACACACCAGCACGGAGGGGCTGTGCAGCAGCGCCTGCAGTGAGTCCACCTGAGGGAGGGCGAGGGGTCAGGAGGCCTGGGCTGCAGACACCTGTCCCAAGGCCTGGGGGAGGAAGGCCAGTCTCGCCAGCCCTGTCCTGATTTCTGACCATCTCAACCCAGTTTCCTGGTCCAAAGAGGAGTCTTCTCCACTCCCCATAGCACCTCAATCACTAGCTGGGGGCTGAAGTCCCACCACCATGATCTCTCACTCTAACTATACCCTTCCCTCCACCAGGTGTGAGGTCTGTGATTGAAGGTTACTCTGGATGCCCCTGCTGCGGAAGACTTCTGCAGGCTGTGTCTCTGCCCACATGTCCAGCCTCCAGAACATGTATTCCCTGAAGCAGCCAGAGCAGCACACCCTCCAGCTCCCACAGGGAGGCCCGATTCACTCTCTCACCCTTTTCCCAAATGGAGGAGCCTCTGTGCTGCCTGACCTGTGTTTTCTGGTACAATCTGAGTCTGTTGCCTCTGCCTCTGCCTCTGCCCAAGTGGAGGGAAGAGGGGCTAGGCACCACTCTCCCTGCAGGGACCCCTTCCCTTCCAGACTCCTGCAATGGTATCTAAGGTCCTGACCCTCCCCAGACCCATCAGGATGTCCCCTACCCACTGCTGGACTTGGGGCAGGCCATGTCACTGCAGTACTCCATTCCAGGAGACAGGTCCCTGGACCCAGAGGCCCCTGCAGATCTCAGGGTTTGCACTGTTGACAGGATTACATTGTAATTAGCAATGCTGGGGAATGTATCTCCATCTTTAAAGCACAGAGATGTTCTTTTTCATTTTCTAAAATTAGAAGGGTATGCTCATTAAAAAAAAATGAAAGAGGAAACATTACATTCTCTTCCCCAAACATATGTCCTAGAAATGTGTTGTACACTAGATCTTTCAGCCTAGCAAGTTCGAAGTTGGTTTTAAATGACTAGGTCCACGGCTTCTTAGCCTTTTGGCTAAGATCAAGTGTAAATGACTAGGTCCATTTCTTCTTTGATTTAGATTTCTGGTCCATCAAAAAAATACAAACATGACCCAAGTCTATGAATTCATAGATGTAGCCATGCTTCTAGGGAATCAGACTCTCAGGGAAGAAGAAACAATTAAAGACTAAATGATGCTCCCATTCCTCGAGAGAGGCAGAAGGCTAGAATCCACAGGAAAAGGAGCATTTTCAAGAACAACTATCCGGGAGGGAACGTGAACGTTGATAATCATGTTTCGGTTCTTCCTGGGGAGAAAGGAGGTCATTATGTTTATGGAAACTCTAACAGCTCTGCAGTAAGTCTAGGTGAAAATATCTAATGTCTTTTTCTCCAGTTCACTCATATTGTGCCAGCTCTCTCCCCATCACTGCACCCACTCAATTGCAGCTAACTCAAGGTAGGGATCTTGTCTCATTTGTCTGTTTGTACAGTACACACTAGTCCATGTAACACACACTAACTCAAAAGCATCCTTGCATTACATTGCAATTAGCAATGCTTGCGGATGTATTTCCATCTTTAAAGCACAGGGCATGTTCTTTTTCCTTTTCCAAACATGAATATTAGCTCCATCATTTGCCACCCATGCAACTTGGAGCAAATTATTTAACCTCTGTGCTTGACTTTTCTTATCTGTCCCAAGGGGATAATAGTATCAGCTACCAGCCAAATGCAGTGGCTCACATCTGTAATCTCAGCACTTTGAGAGTCTGAGGCAGGTAGATCCCTTGAGCCCAGCAGTTTGAGATCAGCCTGGGCAACATGGTGAAACCCTGTTTCTACTAAAAAATACCAATAAAATTAGCCAGGTGTAGTGGCATGTGACTGCAATTCCAGCTGCTTGGGAGGCTGAGGTGGAAAGATTACTTGAGCGCAGAAGTCGAGGCCACAATGAGCTGAGATTGTGCTACTACACTCCAGTCCGGGCAACAGAGTCAGAGCCTGTTTCAAATATTAATAATAATAATAATGAATAACAGTAATACATCAGTGACCTGGTGAGTCTATGTGGTGAACGCTAAGCCCTGGACCAGCCACTTCTACCCCACTCTCTCTCTGGTGTGCCTTCCAGTACTGCAGAGGTTTCTTTGTTTGTTTTGGGTTTGTTTGTTTGTTTGTTTTGAGACTGAGTCTTGCTCTGTCACTCAGGCTGGAGTGCAGTGGTGCAACCTCCACCTCCCAGTTCCAAGTGATTCTTCTGCCTCAGCCTCCGAGTAGCTGGGACTATAGGCATGCAACACCATGCCAGGCTATTTTTGAATTTTTAGTAGAGTTGGAGTTTCCCCATGTTGGCCAGGCTGGTCTCGAACTCCTGACCTCAAGTGATCCACCTGCCTTAGCCTCCCAAAGTGCTGGGATTACAGGTGTGAGCCACCACACCTGGCCCAGTACTGCAGAGTTTAGAAAGCTGCCAGCCCATTTCCTGAACTCCCTTGCAGCTTGGGATCTAAATGCAAAATAAGTCCACTAATTAGATGCACTTGTGCAGGGCATGGAACATGGTGGCAAAGCAGATGCCATCTTCCTTTTGTTCCTAACTCTTGCCATAAGCAAAATGAAGTCAAAGATGCCGAGAGGCATGTGCCACTGATATGGCAAAAGATGCCCTCGTTGTTCTAGTACCCATCATCTTCCCATGTGGGATCCCAGCAATGGTGGGGTAATTCAGAGCTCAGTCATTCCAGAGGCAATCCCCTAAACCTCCTTTCCTCATTTCCTAGACACCACTGATAGGTTGGTCTAAAGCATTCTGGGAGTCTTTTCCAGGACCCAGCCTGTGTTCCTCCAGCCTTTCAGTGAATCTCTAAGCATCAAATGCTCTCAGTGTAATTCCTTTCTGCTTAAGATGCTGAGAGAGGATTCTGTTTCCTGTACTGAAGCATGGCTGACACAGAGTATCATATCAGAGATGGCCACAGGCAATGGACCTTCAAAGATAGGAATCTGGGATTCGTGTTCTCATCTGGATGATGTGAAAGTGGTGATAAACCGGTGGCAACGGGGCACTTGTAGCACGTGGCACACAGTGACAACATAGTTCTTAGATGATCCCCTCTGATAGCAGAAAGCAGTGCTTCCTGAGAGCAGAACTTTGACCCTCCACTGGCTGTGGGGATAGCCTCTTCGAATGAGTGAGAACTGCAAGGGCTATGGGGTGGGCTGGCACTTCCCACTTTTGAAAAATGGCAGGCTCAAAGTCTAAGCCCTAACTCAAGGATGGCCAGAGGATGTGGGGGCTTCTTCAACAGCTGTCAAAGAGTCTCTTTTCTCTTGTTGCCAAAACTCAAATGCAGAACTGCTTCTGCTGGTGGCTGAAAGACAGTTGAACCCGGTGTTAGGTGCTCCATCAAGCCATAAAGCAGCGGTGCTGTGCGGAAGTGGACCCTGATCACCAAGTGGAGGTGACGCAGACTAGATCAAGAAGCGTCAAGCGTCAAGAAGATTGACTAAGGCATCAGTAAGTTGCTCGAGCAGGCAACTCACACCCCAGCTCACCTGCTTCTGCCGCGTTTCTGTCCCTCCTTAGCACACACCTATGACTTCCTGGGAAATTCCCCATCCCAGCTAACAGAAGAAGAAAAGATCCTATTCTGGCTTTCAGACGGTTGCAGAGAGTATGGTGACATGACCAAGAGGTGGCTGCTGTGTGACAGACTCACTTGGGCCATGAAGAGCAGTGGTGAAGGGAAAGCCAGGGGACAGTGTGATTTGGTGACTACCCGGAAGAAGCAATGGCAAGAGGTTCTAGAGCAATTTATGGGCAGTGGTTAGCAGTTAAATCTGACAATCAAGGGACTTGAAGGAAGGGGACTGGAGGATGGGTGACAGGAAGTCCAGAGATGAATCTGAATGGATCGCTCAGAACCAGCCCAGAGGGTGAGAACAGTGGTGACCCCCATGCATGTTTACCAAAAGGTGAAAATCCGGTGGATACACTGACCAGCTCTGTAAAGTCAACCATCCGCTTCCTCCAGCCACCCCAGGTATGCTCAGGCAGCTCCTGAACAAAGTGGCAAAGAAGCATCAACTAGCAGCAGACGCTCCACCTCATTCAAACAAACCTGGCTGCCACCTCTGCTCATGGCCTGATCTGCTAAGAGCAGAGACCCAGTGATTCATATCAGACCTTGAGGGATGCAGCCAGACCCCTGGTGGAAACCTAATGACGTCAAACCCCTCTGATATGGTGGTGTTCAGCAATCTGTGCCCACTGTAATAGACACCTGCTTCACAGGTAGATTTTGCACCTGGCCCATCATCCTCCTCTACCCTCCATGGACGCATGGAATGCCTTGCTCATCTTTGCCAAAACCCATGAAGATCCATCCAAAGTTCCATCCAAATAACTGATTTTATAGCAGAGATGTGAGAAGATGGGCTAACCCCCATGGAACTCACTGTGTGGCCATGTACCCCATCACCCAAAGCATCTCTAACTTATGAAACAATAGAATATTCTATGGAAGACCCAGTTTGGGCAGCAGCTAGATGTCACTTTATGATGTTGGGATGTTGTCTTACAGGATGTGATGTGTGCTCTGAACTAGCAACTGATACTTAGTGCTGTTTCTCTGGCAATAAGACACCTGTGCCCTCACTGCAAACATTCTACTTTCCGTCCCAACAGTTTTGGTCTCTGCAAGCTATACAGTGAATCCCATGGGTGTTAGTCCACTCTCTCATTTCTTTTGCTATAAAATTAGTTCTTTGGATAGAAGTGATCTGCATGGTCATCTGCATGGGTTATGGCATAGGTTTGGCAGTCTCAGGACCCATGGGATAATGGTGCTTCTTAGAAGACACAACAGTGGGCTGGACATGGTGGCTCACGCCTGTAATCTCAGTACTTTGGGAGGCCGAGGTATGTGGATCACCTGAGTTCAGGAGTTTGAGACCAGTGTGGCCAACATGGAACTTCATCTCTACTAAAAATATGAAAATTAGCCAGGTATAGTGGTGGGCTCCTGTAATTCCAGCTACTTGGGAGCCTGACGCAAGAGAATCACTTGAATTTGGGAGGCCAAGGTTGCAGTGAGCCGAGATCGCACCACTGCACTCCAGCCTGGGCAACAAGAGTGAGAGTCTGTCTCAGAAAAGAAGGACTAGGAGGAGGGAGAGGAGGGGGAGGAGGAGGAGGAGGAGGAGAAGGAGGAACAACAATGCAACAGTGGCCCCGTGGAGCTGAAAACTGAAATGGTTGCCTCGGACATACAAGGCTTCTCATGACAATGAACCAAGAAGCAATAAGGAGGTTCTGTGTTGGATGGGGTGGTTGGTTTTGATTGTCCAAGGGGGAAATAGAGCTATTACATAATGGGACAGGGAAGAAGTCACCTGTCTCTCAGGCAGCCTATTGGTTGTCATGTCCAGGGGTCAACATGAACACAAGAACACAGCAGCCCCATCTAGTGAGGAACTTCAAGGGCTCAGACTTCTCAGGAATATGGTTCAGTCACTCTGCCAGGTACATAACCATAATCAGCTGAGGTGCTGGTGGGAGACAGAGGAACAGGGAGTGAAGAGTGGAAAGAAGCTTTAAACACCAACGACGGCCTTGTGGTAGATAATTTTCTTCGCAGCTCTGCTAGGTATACATATTCATCAGTTTCCCTTTTCTTTGCTCTTTATTTCTATACTACTTTGATGGTGCTGGACTACATAAGTAGAACTTGAGATAAGGGGATATCAAGGTGAGGTTGTCACAGAATAGAAGACGAAGGGTCAGTGATAATGTGATTGGGGGAAGAAGGTGAAAGGGGCTCTGATTGTAGGAGGAGAGCTCTATTTATACATGAGTGCGTGTTGCTGTAGCTGGTGTTTATAATGAAGGTTTTATAATGATGCTATGATTTTTTTTTTTTTGAGACAAAGTCTGGCTCTGTCACCCAGGCTGGAGTGCAGTGTGCGATCTTGGCTCACTGCAGCCTCCGCCTCCCAGGTTCCAGCAATTCTCCTGCCTCAGCCTCCCAAGTAGCTGGGATTACAGGCATGCGCCACCACGCCTGGCTAATTTTTGTATTTTAGGTAGAGATGGGGTTTCACCATGTTGGCCAGGCTGGTCTCGAACTCTGACCTCAGGTGATCTGCCTGCTTCATCCACCCAAAGTGCTGGGATTACAGGTGTGAGCCACCACACCCAGTGATGTTTATGAAGGTAGAATGGTGCATATAGATGTTAAATAGCAATAGGACTGAATCTTGAGGAGACTGAATTAGATCAGTCAACTTCCATCCTCCATTCTGCCCACCTTTGGTGGAAATTCATGTTCTGCAGAACCTGGAAAGGCAAAAATTACATCCACGGATGTCCCTGAACTCAATAATCACAGCGGCTTCCAGCAGAGGTAGTAGCTTTCCGCACGTGCTGGGAGCCATTCCTGCAGACCCAGCTTCCAATTCAATCTCTGGCTTCCCAAAGATTTGGAAGACCTCCAATGCCCTGTATTAAATCACTTTCTAATTAAGGTACCCTGAGTGGTTTCTGTTTCCTGCACTAAATTCCTGCATTAATAGGTTATTGGATAAGACAACAACAAGAGTACACAAGGCACAATGCCTGGCACTTACCACATCCTCTCTCAATGCAGTTAAAAACGTGAATCACAACTACTTCTGGATTAATTGACTTGACTGAACATCTCCATGCTATTCACCTTTAGTTAGTAGCAGGGCAATCAAGTGCCGTTTTTAAGGAATAACCTCCCTCTTCCATGTGCGTATTTTGACTTGGGGTCTAAAGAACTTTTTCAAGGAAACATCAGACCCCGACAGCCTACCTTTTTCCCACTGGTTGTGTACACCTGCTTCACAGGAAAGCACAGGAGATCCGAGGCTTTGCTGAGAAAGGCAGCCAGGCTTCTCATATTCCGGTGACTGAGGACCACTGTCTGCTGGAGGCGAGGGTCTGTGTTCTTAACCAACAGTATCCTCCGGGGAGTTTTAAGACTCTTCCGGGAGGAGGATGTTCCTGGGACTTCACGCTGGCCTTCAATATCCCGCAAACGTGGAGCAGCAGGGCCTCTCCCCTGTGGCCAGCCTGGCCCACTGGGTGTCTTGGGGGGCTTATCAGAGCATAGGTAGCACCCACCATCTTCCAGCTGCTCCAGGGCACTGAGGCTGTGCAGACCCCGGGGTGTGGTGACAGAGCGCACCCCAAAGGAGAGAGGCATGCGCTGAGAGAGCTCGTCCATGAGGGCGCTGAAGGTCTTAAAGGCGCGCTGGTGAACGGCCAGGCGGACCCCAGCAAACTGTGGATCCCCTCGCTTGAGGAAGGTAATCTTCTTGGCTGGAGTGACCTTGGTGACCGAGGGGGTGCGAGCCATAGAGGGCAGGAGGCACTCACGGTGGCTCGGGGCCTGGGCATCCCTTGGGGTGCTGTTCATGATGTAGGGGCTCTGGTAGCTGTAACAGGTCAGAGAAAGAGGGGTCAGAGAGCAGGTTGGGAGACTGACATTTTTCTGTCTCTCCCCTTCTTTGTAGCGGTGCTTCCTGCCCACCCCAAATGTGTTCCACTCCACTATGGAAAGGCAGGTGAATCTATTTGGATGGAATAGAAGGAAGGACAGAAGTTGGGCATGGGACAGATCTGTGTTCAAATCCCAGCCTTGTGGACTGCTTGAGTTCAGGAGTTCAAGGCCAGCTTGGGCAACATGGCAAAACTCCATCTCTACTAAAAATACAAAAATTAGCCAGGTGGTGTGCACCTGTGGTCCCAGCTACTCGGGAGGCTGAGGTGGGAGGATGGTTGGAGCCTGGCAAGTTAAGGCTGCAGTAAGCTATGATCATGCCACTGAATTCTAGGCTGGGCAATACAGCAAGACCCCATCTCAAAAAAAAAATTCCAGCCCCATCACCTACTCCTGTGTGACCCAGAAGGTTAAGGATGTGATCTGGATTTTGGTGGCCCCCATCTGTAAAATGCAGCTGTAGCCACTCTGCATAGCAGTTATAATCATCAGATGAGTCTAGACATAAAAACACCTGGCACTGAGCAAGTATCTATCTACCTACCTACCTACCTACCTACCTACCTACCTACCTACCTACCTATATATTTTTTTGAGACAGAGTCTTGTTCTGTCACCCAGGCTGGAGTACAGTGGTGCAATCTTAGCTTACTGCAACCTCCATCTCCCAGGTTCAAGTGATTTTTGTGCCTCAGCCTCCCGAGTAGCTGGGATCACAGGTGTACGCCACCACAGCTAAGTTTTGTATTTTTTTGTAGAGACAGGGTTTTGCTGCGTTTGCCAGGCTGTTCTTGAACTCCTGACCTCAGGTGATCTACCCACCTCGGCCTCCCAAAGTGCTGGAATTACAAGTGCGAGTCACCATGCCAGGCAATAAATCTTTACTTCTTTCCTTCCTGCTGTTTCTGTTGCCCACTTCTACCAACCTTGAACTTTTTTGAATTGTATTTTAGCAGTTTGTCTCTAAGGAGGTGAGTCAGTAAGAGAAGACCATGAAACACAGAGGTACCAAGGCTGGACAGAGACTCGGGAGGCTAGGGTAGCACACGCCACTCGTGAGGTCTCCCTGTGCGGCCTCTGGAAGTTCTTGCCCCTTTGAACTCCTCCTCTCCAGATGTTGTGTGAAAGGGCTAGAGTGGAAGGCACGGATCCCAAGCCACACAGGGACAGGGGTGCAGACAGGGAGACTTGGAGCTCTGTATCCTTAACCCCAATGGGGTGACACTGTTTGAAGCTGTGTGTCTTCTGCATTATATATTGAGGTTTGCTTTCATGTAACTACGATGCTGCCTCTTACATTTACCCGAAGTCTGTGCAAGGTGCATGATAAATCCTACAGGTGAATATCTTGGCCACTGCTGCCAGCATGGGAGAGGGGGCTCAGAGCTGCTGTGGGAGGTCAAGGCCATTCTCCCATAGTCCGTTCCTGCTCCCACTGACTGCCAGAGGAGAGCCACAGCCTCACATGGGATTGCACAGGCCTTCTGTGCTCTTCCTAGCCCAGGAGGCCGCACCTGCTCTGGGCACCTCACCCCCCGCTTCTTGCCCACATGAGAATTCCCCATTCCTACCAGGCTGCCTGGCTGCAAGGGTTTCCTTCACGGTGGCCCCTGCCCTGCGGCCCCTGCCTCGCTTTCCTTCTTCGAAGATTTTTACTCAGCCCCTACAAGCCCAAGGAACTCCCCCTCTTCATTACATCTTCTCCAGCAATTCCCATATCTGGGCCTGCACCCTTTCTGGCCAACTCCACCAGGGCCCGGGAGGCAGAACCTCTGCTCCCCAGGGCTCCAGCCCCTCATTCCGCACAGAGTCGGGCCAAGAAATGCACACAGACAAGGAAAGCTGATGCTTCCTAGAGCCAGGACTGTTGGAAGCTGGCCCCGAGCACTTACCAGGGGCAAGGAGTCATCCCAGCTTACAGGTGGCTCAGCCCAGGACCCCCGTTGGTGTGCAAGGCCATGGGCAGCAGTGGTCCTCCCTGCCGCGACCACTGTGCCCATTTCCAGGGTAACTGGGGCCCCCATCTCCTTTTCTCACCCTCCTCTCCATCTAGCCCTATTTGTCCTAAGAGGAAAAAACTCTTCTCTCTTTTTCAGAATCGTGGTGCAGAAAGACCTGATAATCTGCCCTCATCTCTGACACAAGCTTTATAATTAGCTGGGCTACCTCCTCCCACCTAACTTTAATCCCTGGAAGCTGCTGTTCCCAGCCCTTGGCTAACCTCCCTGCCAGGCTGGAGCACTTCCCCCAGACGCTGCTGTGGGACAGCCCTTCTTCCAGCATCTTTCATTTGCACCTGGCACTGTGAGCATCCATCTGGCACACACTGAGGGAGCGAAAGAAATGAAGCCCGCCTTGTCCCCAGTGTCACTGTGTCTCTCAGCACCATGTCCCCAGGATTACTGTACCATGCATCTTCATTTCCCCTAGAATCACTGTATCCCAGCAACACCATGTCCCCAGCTTCACCATGTCCCTAGTGTGATCATGTCCCTCAGCACCATGAAGTCTTCGGCATCACTGTATTACCAGCATTACAATGTCCCAGCATCACATGTCCTAAGTGTCACCATGTCTTTAGCATTACAATGTCCCAAGCATCGCAATGTGCCAGGTGCCTAGCACCACAATTACATCCCCAGCACTGCCATGTTCTCACCCTCACAATGTCACCAGCACTGCCATGGCCCAGCATTACTGTGTGCCCAGCACCACCATGTCTTCAGTGTCACCATGTCCCCCAGCACTGCCATGTCCCCAAAATGACCATGTTCTTCAGCATTACCATATCCCCAGCACTTCCATGTCCCCACTACTTCCATGAACCCAGCATTACCATGTCCCCAGCACTTCCATGTCCTCAGCACCTCCATGTCCCCAAATACCTCCATGAACCCAGCATCACCATGTCCCCAAAATGACCATGTCCTCCAACATTACTATATCCCAGCACCTCCATGTCCCAAATACCTCCATGAACCCAGCACTACCATGTCCCCAAAATGACCATGTCCTCCAACATTACTATATCTCAGCACCTCCATGTCCCAAATACTTCCATGAACCCAGCACTACCATGTCCCCAGCACCATCATATCTCTAGCACCAGCATGTCCCCAGCATCACCATGCTCCCAGAGTCACATGCCTTCAGAGTCACCATGTCCCCAGAACCACTGTGAAGCCAGGACCACTGTGTCCCCAGCATAACCATGTCCCCAGTACCTCCATGTCCCCAGAATCATCATGTTCCCAGCATTTCCATGTCCTCTGCACCTCCATGTCCCCAGCACCTTCATGTTCCCAGAATCATCATGTCCCAAGCACCTCCATGTCCCCAGAATCATGTCCCCAGCATCTCCATGTCCCTAGCACCTTCATGTCCCCAGAATCATGTCCCCAGCACCTCCATGTCCCCTGAACCATCATGTCCCCAGCACCTCCATGTCACCAGAATCATGTCCCCAGCCACCTCCATGTCCCCTGAACCATCATGTCCCCAGCAACTCCATGTCACCAGAATCATGTCCCCAGCACTTCCATGTCCCCAGAATCATGTCCTAAGCACCTCCATGTCCCCAGAATCATGTTCCCAACACCTCCATGTACCCTGCATCCCCATATCCCCAGCACCTCCACGTCCCCAGCACCTCCATGTCCCCAGAATCATCATGTTTCCAGGACCTCCATGTCCCCAGCATTACCATGTCCTTAGAGTCACCATGTTCCCAGCATCACTGTGCTCCTAGCACAGCACATGTCCCCAGCATTGCTATGATTCATTGTCACCCTGTTCCCCAGCATCACCATGCCACCAAAATGACCATGTGCTCCAGCAGCACCATGTCGCAGAACCAGTCACCCCCCAGTACTTCCATGTCCCCTGCACCTCCATGTCCCCAGAATCATGTCCCCTGCACCTCCATGTCCCCAGAATCATGTCCCCAGCACCTCCATGTCTCCAGAATCACTATGTCCCAGAACTACTGTGTCCCCAGCACCTCACGTCTGCATCATTACCATATCCTCAGCACCTCCATGTCCCCAGAATCATCATGTTCCCAGCACCTCCACATTCCCAGCATCACCATGTCCCAGAACCAGCACCTCCATGTCCCCTGCATCACTGTCTTCAGCACTGTCTTGTCCCCAGTATGCCCTTACCTTGCAGCCAAGGGGAAGGGAGAGGCAAACGTGGGGTTTTCTTCTCGGAAGAGGCATCGCCTTCCAGCCCTCACCCTCAGAAAAGCCCATCATATTCTCCGCACATTCTGTCACTCATCACTCACTCTCTCATGTATCCAACAAAGATTTCTGAGCATCTATTAAATCAGGCTCTGCGTGGCATTCTGGGATGAAAACATTAGTGGGACACAGTACCGAGCTTCAGAAACTTCACATCCCAGTGTGACAGACATGCTCCTACACACAGCAATAAATTTTCTGATGTGTATATGTGTACATACACACACACTCGCACATACACCACAATATACACTGGATGTGACTGAATGCAGAGTAAAAGGAATGGCAGTGTGGGTCAAGGAAGGCTTCCTGGAGGAGGAGGTGATGTAGAGATTCCTCAGCTGAAGCCTAAACACAACTTAGGGATTAGTCTCTGTGGCTCTAGGAAGAAGCTGGGACCATGGCAAATAGATATGGCCCTGGCACCTTCTCTGGCAAGCTGGGTGGGGTCAGAAGTCTGGGAGGAGAAGGTCAGAGGCTTCCTGCAAGCTAGAATTGGCTGCCGTAGAGTCAGGGAAGAGCTGGGCCATTCTGGGTGCCAGACACCTGCCTTCCCTGCATCAGGGCATTCAAAATCTGGCCTGGAAAACTGGGCTTTTCAGTTCCATGAGCTGGCACTTTTCTCCTTAGCTGAGCGGGTGTAAATTGGGGTTTCTGTCTTGTAGAGCAGGAAGAGCCCAGCTGAGATGTG